TGGACTTGCATACTGAGCAGAAAATTGGAAGCTGGCAAGAGGCTCTTGAGAATGAAATGAACCTGAAGCATAGCGAGGGATATCACAAGACAGTGGACTCGAAATACCTGGTGGGATCCAGTGCAGCACTATACTGCAACGCCAAATACCCGAAGCACCTGGTTGTTGTGGATGCTAGAACGTAGCATCGGTTGATTGACCAGCTCTTTTTGGTGCCTAAGTGCATACGGTTGTCCACAATATCTGAAAAGTCTCAAGAGCTATTGGCGAAGACCTTCGGGCAAACCCGGATAGGTCTAGGGATGAACAAGAGGAGATAGTGGGTGGAAATTTCGTTAAGTTGAGCGATGGAAACATCAGTGAGCTTCAGAAAAAGAAAGCGAGTGAGACGATGTCGAACGATTTCCCTACGATAGATGAGAAGGATGAAACGCATCCGACGGTGAAGTAAATCGAGCCCCTGTTGACAGCATCGGGTTATCGAACTTGGAGGAATATCCTATTGACTCATGGTGAGTACCAGTTTCACTGCCTGGTGCAGACGTTTTGGTACCACAAGAGCGCGAGCCTAGTATTGGTTTGGGATGCTGGAGATTTATTGTCCATGGGATTGCCTGATCAAGCTCAGAACGTGACGATATTAGTGGTCAGCGCCATGCTGGCCATGCAAACTCCAGATCAACTGAGAAGAGTGATTATCAGTTAGACACTGGATTTGTTCAAGAATACCTGCAGTGTTCTGAGGATACCGAAAACGATACAAAGAATTTGGTCAAAACAAAGATTGATGCCTTGGTTCCGTGCGGTATGGCCAGCATGGGTGTATGAATGCGCGTAGCGTCATATTTCCTGAAACACGGAAGCATATTAATCTTTCAGCTAGTTGTAGGACCCGGAGCCTATAAGAGAGAATTCCTAACGCATAAGAACGCCGTGACTACAGCTGTGAAATGGGTGACTGGGATGTCTTGTACCACGGAAAACGAGAAAAATAGGTCTTACAAGCTGTCCTGGAACGGAATGTGAGCCTATGATTGCTCAATAGCTTCTGTGCGACTCGAGAACAGAAGGTGAACGTGGATCTACTGCCTGTTGTAAGCAGAGGGTGCTAGAACAGGAAAGCTGGGGCACGGCCCGCAATTCTGTTGATCTGCTGCAGAAAGCCCTAGAAGACAGCGAGATTGGTGATCAAGAACAAAATGCGATGGAGTAGAAACTGAAGAAGAGACACGGAGTGGAAATGGAGAGAGATGAAAAATTTAATTTTCGTAGTGTGTTCAAACTTGGACTAATCAACCAAGATTGATTATTAGGACTTTTAAATTTTTTGTGTCGATGATGTTTGGTCAGTCCAGACTTTGTTATTTTTAGAAATTGTTGTTACAATTGTTCAATTGCAAAGAAAATTTTAGTTGATGTAATTTTATGTATGCCTGAGGTGAGTATAATTACCTATTTAAACTTGACTGAAAATTTCAACCTTTATGGCCAACATTTTCGCTTTGTGGCGACCTGGTTGGGTTTGGGTGCGCTCGCTCGAGGAGGGTGAGTACCTCATTACCTTTCCAAGCCGCAAAGTTTCTTAATTTTAATATTGAGAGCAACATCATATATGAACGATTAAACTTTGCGAGTGGAGCTAAGTAATTTTAACGAGTGCGTGACCGTGCCACGTCCCAAACCTTTTTGAATCAGCAAAAACAAGAAGAAAGTTCATGGTGAAATGACGTAAAAAGTCAGAAAAAAAACTTACTAAGGACACTCCTAATTGTGTGAAATTTATGAAAATGTTTTGACACGCAGCGAGTTGAGGTGACGTAGATAAATTTCAGTTTCTAAAGCGATTTGTAAGTTGATTATTGAAAAATGGATCCCCACTTGAAGATAACCCGGAGTTATGCGTTCAATCCTTTACAACCCATCCAAAAAGTCGCTTCTTTCAACCTTCGCCTTTTGGCTAGTTCTATCGTATTGTTTTCTCCCTTTCTTTGAGTAAAAAAGAACTGTTTCGAATGTGCAAGAATCTAAAAGTAGCTCTGTGGTTAATTTGGATATTTTAGAAAATTTTAAAAAATCTGAATCTTGTTACTCTCATTATCTTGTTTGTATAAGGCATCTTTATTCAGGTCTTTTTCAGTGTTTTAGACATACAAGATCGTTGAGCCTTTGTTTATTCTATCGTTGAAATACCACTATCCTCGTCATTCGGGTTCGTTTACGATCACATACAAAAGTTTTTTAAATTCATCGTTCATCGAGTCGATCAATGACAGGCACTCCCTTACTGAGTATATCAACGGCAGAGCTTCCCGACGGAATCTCACGGCAGAACCTAACGATTGCTGGTCTACTTTGAAGAAGCGGCTTCCTCGCGATCAGAAGAGTTTTCTTATGATATCCCTCCCTTCCAGATTCGTAAAATTAGAATGGTTACGGGCTGGAAGGCTGTCTGCCATTCCCCCTGATTGGCACAGTTGAACCCGCCGACGCACGAGAAAAAGAACACTAAAGGCGTTAGCGTCAGATTGGCAATGAAAAGGAGGGTCGGAACATTCTAGAATTTTTCAATTTTAAATTTTCGATTCGAACCAAATCATTTCTGAGAAATACAGAAAGTGGTCATATTTGGCAGAAAACAGACGAAAAAAAAAACAACCGAAATAACAAGTGAGAAACAGTCAAGAAACACGGAAGAAAAAAAACGAAGTCTCTTATCGCGACGATAACGCACAATAAGACACATAGTGGAAGCCGGTAAGAAGAAAGGAGACTTCATTGAGATCAGTATCCTCCCGTGCCACGAAGTTGGAGAAATAAAAACGTTATTTCTGGAAGAGCACGGAATCGAAGGCCCGGTGTCCAGAGACTGTTGTATGTTGAGAGACTGTAATAAACTGATTTTTAGCTGCTTTAATGTCCTAAACGGTTGAATTAACCCCACTATTTTTTTTTAATTCAGAGTGGCTAGAAAGAGGAAATAGTCAATCCATCTCCAACGGATTTAGTATATAAATGTCACTAAAATATAGTAAAGTAGGATTTTCGAGCCGTGTTTTTAATGATAGTCTTGTAGTCTGGGGATCCGAGACCCAGCAATGTGATTATTTTCGCATGCAGGCGAAAGCTGATCAAAGTTGTTTGACTGATGGCCTAAAAACTGTAACCTTTTTACTTAGCCCTAAACAGACCAGAAAACTGACTGGCTAGGTCTAGACGGTGAAAAAGTAGTAGAATTAAGCCAGCTGACGCATGACAGTCGTCACTAGGTGCTTTGTCTACGCTCCGTCACTGTGTAATGTTTGGGCGAATGTTACACTCGCCCAAACGAATGTTACACTCGATTAACGATAAAGTTGATCCATTCAAATTTTTAAAAATAAACCCAATGCTTCTTTTTAACCTTCAATTTTTGGCTATTTTATCAACAGCGCCCTTCTTTTATCGTGTACTCCGTTTCTTTGATGAAAAAGTTCCGCTCCACTCTAGTTCTAATGGCACAATTATGATGTGTATATGATCTGTGGATAACCGCAGCATAAAATCTCAAAAACACTAAGAGTCAGATGATCTTTTTAATTAAAGGGTAGCACAAATCTAACCGGATAAAATTAAAAAGCGTGACATACAGAATAGAGATCGGTCATACCCTACTATATTAGTATAAAACCCTTGGAGCCTAAATATCCATTTAATTGGTGGGGCGTATCTTTTTCGTTCGTGAGTTCACGGGTCGAGTCGTGGCTTTATGTCCAGACATAATAAGTCTGAATCGATCCGCGTGGGGACCAAAAACTCAAAGTCGTCAAGGTCAAAGCCTGCAAAGTCTAAGCTTAAGTCTGCAATGTCTGAAAAAAGGTCTAAAAGATCTGAAGATAAGTCTGCAAAGTCTGAACAAAATCTGCAAAGTCTGAACATTAGTCCGCAAAGTCTGAGCATAAGCCTGCAAAGTCTGAACATAAGTCTGCAAATCCTGAACATAAAGTCTGCAAAGTCTGAACATAAAGTCTGCCAAAAACTGTATCGATCCGCGTGCGCACCAAAAATTCTGAGTCGCCACGCAGGTTAAAGTCTGCAAAGTCCAAATATGAGTCAGCAAAGTTTGAACAAAAGTCTGTAAAGTCTAAAATAAGTCTGAAAAGTCTGATAATAGTCTGCAACGTCTGAATATAATTTTGCATAGTCTAAACATAAATCCTGCAAAATCTGATAAAAAAGTGTACAGAGTCTGACATAAGTTGCAAAGTCTGAACATAAGTCTGCAAAGTCTGACATAAGTCTGCAAAATCTGAATATAAACCTGCAAAGTCTGAACATAAATCAGCAAAATCTGCACATAAGTCTGCAAGGTCTGAACATAAAGTCTGCAAAGTCTGAACATAAAGTCTACAAAGTCTGAATCCGTCCGCGTGGGGACCAAAACCAGATCGGCACGCAGGTCAAAGTCTGCAAATTCTAGACATCAGTCAGCAAAGTCTGAAAATAAATCTGTTAAGTCTAAAGTCAATCTGCAAAGTCTGAAAATAGTCTGCATAGTCTGAACAAAAAGTATGCAAAGTCTGAATCCATCCGCGTGGAGACCGAAGTATTATAGTGGTGACTCAGGTCAAGTCTGCAAAAAGCCGAAATAAAGTCTTACACTAATTCGAAACAGCCAAAAACAAAGTCGAACGCACAGTCGAAACATAGTCGAACACTAAGTCGAAACATAGTAGTCCAAACGGTCTGAAACCAGATTACTTCGGTTCACACGAACTGAAACCGGATTTCTTCAAACCACATGGTCTTAAAACGGTTTCACTTGGTCCACACGGTCTGAAAATAGTGTTTTCTGGTCCACGCGATCTGAACATACAATATTATGGTCCAAAAGTCTGAACATGCTAAATTCTGGTTCACAAGGTCTGAACATAAAACCACCACCTCGACTCGGGTTTTTATGTGAAGTGAGCTTCGAAAGCGAGCGAGTTTGTTTTACAAGCCACAAAATTTGAATGTTTCAGGTGGACTCTCTGAACAGCAAGCTTTCCAACATAGAAAACAAGCTGAACCAGCTGGGCATGTCGCTGGATGCGACGCAGACAGACCACAGTTCTAAGATACGGGCGGTGGAGGGGGACTCGGGAAGTGCGATTGCGCGAATGGACAGCAAGTATGCGGGCTTAGTCGAGGACCTGAGGAGTTCAGTGTTGGCTACGCGCAACTGGAGCGAGACAGAGCGGGGCAAGCTAGAGAACCAATTTCTGGCCTATATGGAGTCTCACAAACAGTACTACGAAAACAGACTAGTCAAAATTGAAAGGTACCACTATTACTTCTAGCGCTGGCATGACAAAGTTATGTGGGTAGTTGATGAAAAAGTGCTTCTGAAAGAAACGCACCTATATTTGAAAAAAGAACCAAAGCCGCAATTACCATTGATAAGTTTTCCTATTCTGGGAAGAAAAAAAATGGCTAGAAAAAATTCTATTTCAGTTAAATCAATATGCTATTTTTGCTGTGCTGAAAGACGGTACAGTTTATATGAAGCTCGCTGAATTTTTTTTACGAGAAGAATGTAATAGTTAGAGTGTGGAGATTTAGAAATTCGGTCGCTGCTCGAACCTTAATCTAGTGTAGAAACTTGAAAATTTTTTTTAGACTAGCACGCTTGTAGCAAGTAAAAACATGGACATCTTCTCAGTTGAAAATTAGAATGGTTACCTATCCGTAACTATTACTCGTCCTCGTTTTTTCAGAATATTCCAGACTAAAGGAAACATTAGTAGTTTTTCCTTTAAAACTTTGGTAATTGATTAAAGAATCGCGAGAGGGAAAGAAATGTCTTTTTTTTGCATTTACATTCCTTTATGGACCCGTCCTTGCTAAGAGCTTAGAACTTTGTGGGTTTAGTCGAGCTATGTTCAAAAAGTATTAAAAGTATTTTTGGTTTTTGATGTAAATATCAAAAAAGTCTAAAATTTTCTGATTATTGGTTTGCCAACGATGGATAAGGAGTGAAAACGGTGATTCATTTAAATTTTAAGAGACTAAGTGAAGTTCAAGTGATCATTGAATTTCAGCAGTCATTCTGACAGTTTTCGTAAACTAATAAACTAAACTGAAAAAACTACACAACGAATAAAAGTTAATGTTGGGATCGGGTTTTTTTAGACGCTTTGGAAAAACTTTTCATTTTTTTCAAAAACTTCGTTTTTCTCTGAAACTGCTCTTTCAGCCTGCTTCTTCATCTTTCTTACCTTACCCCACTTTCTGAGGGGGTGGGGGGAGCTTTTGATCCATATTATTGGTTATTTTACTTTTTCTCGAAAACTGCCATCCCAAAATAGTATCAACCGAAAAAATGGACGGGTTGTGGGTGGCTCCCCTGCAGAAAAAATACGCCGAAATATCTTCACAGAAAAAGCTATGACCCTCGGAAAAGTCAAATTTGCTACTCAAAAACTATCCTCTTAAACCTGAGGTTTTGGTTTCAATGAGTAGAACGGGTTGTAAGAAGCTCCGCTGCATAAATGCTTGCGTCTAAATTCTTCTACTTAAAACTGTATGAACCTCCGAAAAGTCAAATTGGCAATTTTGTGACAGTTTTTGGAAGGTTTTATTTTTTTTTCGAAAAAATATCCTCCCAAATCTGAGGTTTTAGTTTCAATCGAAAGGACGTGAGCTGGGGAGCTCCGCTGCAGAAAAATTTTTGCTCAAAATTTTTATACAAAAAGTTTTCAACTCGGAAAAGTCAAAACGGCACGACCTTAAACTCCGAAAACTTTTAAACTCTGGTAACATGATATCTTTCTTATTTGCTCGAGCTTTTATCCATTGGATGACCCAATTTTTTTTATTTAGTTAGTGATTTAGTTAGTTTGCCTTAATTGTATAAATGCTACATAACCCCAGTTGTACATATCATCTTGTACATTCAGTGTTGATATCTGTGTAAACCTGTAAGTAGCCTGTATATATTACCATATAATCACCTCCATTGTAATTTGTACTCTCTGTAAATGTCCATTGGTGCTAAACGCGGTTACTTTTTGTTTCAACTTTGGCCCTGGTGGAGCGAGGGGAGATGGAGTATATGCGTGATATTGGCTACATCGACGAGCGGATAGAAAATTTTTTTAGACTAGCACGCTTGTAGCAAGTAAAAACATGGACATCTTCTCAGTTGAAAATTAGAATGGTTACCTATCCGTAACTATTACTCGTCCTCGTTTTTTCAGAATTTTTTTTAGTTGCTCTTTTTAGACTACAGTCAGTTTTAATTCACACATTACTTTTTACTCTCTTTTAATCTTAGTTAGATACAATTGTTACCAGTGGTAAACATACTTTTTTATAATGGCGCAGTCAACAACTGATTTGAACCTGCGGGGAATACCCGCCTTTTGGCCGAACCACACAGTAGAACCTCCAACCCAAAGGAACAACTGGGTAGACCAATTCCATTTGGCTATCATTGCGAAGGAAAACTTAGACATAGACAACCTCAAAGAACCAGTGGAAGGGGAGACGACGTTACCGATCCTAGAAGGCGCCCAGGAGTCAGAAACTGACCAACAGAGGAAAGCCAGGGAGGCCAGGAACAAAGAAGTAATGCGAGTCTACGAACACGCTGAAGAGAAAAGAGTAGCAGAAGAAAAACGCACATTCGGAGGAATGAGGAGATATGAGGCCGACAAAAAAATTAAGGTCAATCCTATACTTGGCCTTAGGAGTGGAAGGCAAAATGGTTTTCGCCCAGAAACATCCAAGGGTAAAAGTCCTAGGAATCTCATTCAAGGAATTTTACGAACTGCTAGAATCGGCTTTTATCAAACCAACCAATAGAACGTTTGAGCGATATAAATTATTGAGCAGGAAACAAAAGGATAGAGAATCATATGAACAATTTTGGGGCGCGTTATCAGATTTAGCCAGATCATGTGAAATTGGAATCAATGCAGAACAGGAGTGGATCAGAGACGTAATTATTTTTAACATGAAAAATTGCGACTTACAACGTAGACTACTTTCGGACACTCTCAATCCATTGGATGCACTGAACCAAGCAATCATCGACGAAAAAGGCTACTATAACCACCTCAAATTAACCATATGACTAGGCCTTTCAACACGACAGGAAGTAGCAGGAGAGTGTATAAAAATTTCAACAATGTAAAAAAAGAAACCAAGCTTGAACATAGAAAGATCAAATACTTGTATGAAATGCGGGAATGCTTTTACCAAGGTTCATCTGAATGTGTGTCCGGCGAAAGAAATTGTGTGTAATAATTGTAAATATAAAAGACACTTTGGAAGACTTTGTAAATCGAAAGGAAGAAAACCCGCTGTAAATATTGTAGATGAATCTGTAAATAGTCAGAATTGTTCATATTCCCCAGAAGACCTTCAGGCAAGAAGCGAAGAGAATTTTTGCGGAGTGATTAACGCGTGGACCGAAGAGGGGACAAGCGACAACGACGACTATTTCGTTCTTAACATCAGAACAATCTACGATACCAATGGCTTGGAAACCAAGAAATTAGTCAACATCGGATTGGGAGACAATTCGATAGTCAATTTGAACATTCCAGTGGATTCGGCAAGCCCAGTGAGCTTCCTGAAGCACAATGTCCTACACGAATTGAAAACGAGAAATCAACAATTGAAGATACACCCAGTAGAGAAGAAAATTAGGGAACTATACTGCGAATTCACAAACGACACAATCAACATCATTGGGAAAGTGGTAGTGAGATTACAATCCAATGGATGGATCGCGGACGAACTGTTAATTTACATAGTGATTCAGATCAGCCAAGAAGTACCGTATAGAGTCAAACGAACACTCAGACAATTATCACTATCCCAACGGGCACAAGCGATGACCCAATTCGAGTGGACAGCTCTCCGGAGAAGACAGTGGAGACACCAAAAACTCCGATATCTATCAAACACCGCGCAAAAAGGAACCCAGGTCCCCCTAAAATTTAGGGAGACAGGCGTTTTATTGATCAACAGTTCAGTAGACTCCGAAGACGAACCTTTAATTACGTTCTCCAGCGCAAAGAGTACACGATCTAAACTGACTTACTGTACGGCGTCCCCTTCGGATTATCTGACACCATTTGAAGATATACCGCGCCACACAACACTGGTAACGGAAACCACACAAGGCCTCTTTTCAACACCCTCCTCTCGAACAACAAAGGCCGCATGTGTAGCATCTCGATTGGTAGAAGTTAGTAGTAATACTCAGGATGATGACGGCAGCGACATATCTTCGGGAATTGACGCTGATGTAAGAAGGGAGGCCGATTACTTTCATGATAGATATAACGGCACGACCTTAAACTCCGAAAACTTTTAAACTCTGGTAACGTAATATCTTTCTTATTTGCTCGAGCTTTTATCCATTGGATGATCCAATTTTTTTTATTTAGTTAGTGATTTAGTTAGTTTGCCTTAATTGTATAAATGCTACATAACCCCAGTTGTACACATCATCTTGTACATTCAGTGTTGATATCTGTGTAAACCTGTAAGTAGCCTGTATATATTACCATATAATCACCTCCATTGTAATTTGTACTCTCTGTAAATGTCCATTGGTGCTAAACGCGGTTACTTTTTGTTTCAACTTTGGTTCTGGTGGAGCGAGGGGAGATGGAGTATATGCGTGATATTGGCTACATCGACGAGCGGGCAGATATTAATTTTTGTGCAGTGGGGAATGTTGTGATTTAGTAATTTAGTATGTTATAATCTTGACCTCTATTATCTAATCAAGTACCAGTTAATGTTCACTCTACGAAGTCCAGTGGACTTCGAAACACTAGTTGCTCTTTTTAGACTACAGTCAGTTTTAATTCACACATTACTTTTTACTCTCTTTTAATCTTAGTTAGATACAATAGTTACCAGTGGTAAACATACATTTTTATTACAACATTTTTAGCATCTTTCAACCTAACAAATTTTTGTAATCACTTCAACTTTTAACAAAACTGAAGTAAAAGATGAAAGTTACAGATTTTGAGGCATCAGTACAAAGAATTCGTAAATTAACAAACAGGTATTTCCAGATTTAGCTGGCCTCGAATTTGTGTTTGATAAAAACAGGTATTATAAAAAATTATTGCATAAGCAGTTACGCCCCTGCATGAGTGGTTACGTCCAATTTTTTTTTCACAAAAAGTTAAGATCCTCGGAAAAATTTAACCTTAATTTTTGAGTTTTTTTTTTGATTTTCTCAAATACTACCTTCCCTATTCTGAGATGTTAATTTTCTTGTGTAGAATGGGTTATGAAAAGCATCCAAGA